TTTCAAACTTGGTAGACCATAAACAACCCCATCATTTTGGGCTCCAAATTTAAGCAGCTCCAACTTTTGGTTCCAGCCTTCCCTCAGGGGAAGGCTTGATGGATATTGGACCAGCATCAAAGAAAAAGGGGATTTAGGCTACAGAAATAACATAAAATCACTCTTCCCTCCTAGCTCCACCCCACACACAGCACCTGTATTCCCAGGGAAGGACACGGGACAGGTTGGATCACAGGAACACAGGTTTGGGATGGTGTCACCGCAGCACAGCTGCATTTAAGCACTACCAGAGATCATTCCGCTCTTTTTAATCAGCCCTGCCTAATTTCCACCAGGCTGTTTGGAGTTGATTTTCAGACATCATTGCCTCCAACCTTGGGTTTCCCCGTTAACCCAAGGAGCCGGCGCCGCCGAGGCTGGAGCGGCAGCTGTGCCATGCTGAGAGGAGGCAGTGGAACATCTGCTCCTGGAGAGCTCATCGGGCCAGATGGGAGTCCTGGGGATTCTGACAGCAACCCCTGATGCGCCTCCACGCTAACCTGGCCACCCCTCCTGGCAGATTTCACCCCCGAGCACGGCTGAACTTCGGCTTTAAAATTAACGAACCTTTGGCACTTCTTGTTTACAGGTTGGTGATAATGTTAGAACCAAGAAAGGATAAATACCCTGCCTGGTGCAGCTTTAGGGAAGGAATCTGTGATTGCACAGCATAAATTCACAGGAAAAAAAGGATTTTAAGTCCGTCCAAAGATGCAGCTGAGGTTTGCGATTTGTAACCACCCCACGAGTACTAATTAAACTGAGCTCTGCAGATTTGCACCACAAGAAATATCAGCTCTCCTAAGTGGAGAGGCTAAAGGAGGAGTTTAGTCCTGTGGTGTAGATGAATAATCTAATAGTTGGCTCTCACAATTAAGAGATAGATGTAATGTGGATGTTAAAGTGTGTAGTGATTTTATTGTAATATGTCCTCCTATAGTGCTTTTTCCCTTTCCCTTGTGGAGTGGTCAGGGCATTTGGAGAGGCTGCTTTACTACCAAGAGGTAACAACACCTGAGCTCCAATCAAGATTTAAAAAAATAAATCTTGATTGGAGCTTAGGTGCTCCATCTCAGGATAAATCCATCTCCACCAATGGACAGCAGAGAAGGAGGTGACTGACAAAACTTTGGGGATAAAATGCAAAACATTCATTTTATAGATGAGCACGTGGCAGATAGTCACAGACACTCCCAGCACTGTGATTTTTCCTTATTCAGTCTTTTGTTGTATCTTTGATAAAGTTTAATAAACCCTTTAACATTATGAGAGTCATTTCTCACAGCCTGGAAAATATTCAAACGAAAATC